CCCAAGATGCCCCCTCCTCCTCCTCCTCCTTCTCCTCCTCCTCCTCCTGCTCCGCCTGACCTTCCACGCCATCCTCCCCCCAGTGTTCCCCGACACGTTTCCACAACGATTCGGGGAACGCATGGTCCGATAGATTGGAAGAGCTCTTGCCACAGCGCTGGGCCACATGGGCGATTCCAAAAAGCAGAGGGCGGCGGTGATTCGCCGTAGGCGTCTTCGATCTATATCCATTTTCCGGTCCACTCGCCAGTGGTCAGATAGCTCGTCAGTGTCCAAACTATCCCCCCCATACCGACGAGGTCCATACGTGCGATACAGTCGGGGCTCTGAATAAGGAACCCTTTTCATTGGGGAGGGGCTCCGTGCTCCTTCATTGTTTTTCATTTTGCCCAAGAGGTTATCCTTGGATTTTCGATGGGAAGTCGAAGTTGAACTTCTGCAGAAAAGGGGCCTCGTTCCTTATTTTGCGTTCCTTAGGTCAACGCCCCGACGGTATGGGCAACAACGATAACCGTTTGGATGCATCGCTCCCATTCCGATTCCCACTCCGACTCTCCCGAGGCGCTCGCGCCGTCCTGCTCTCTCGGCTGGAGGTGTCTGGTGCCTGGTTTTCGTCCTTCGAAGGCCCTGTGCCGGGCCACGAGCCCGCGCGAAAAAGTCTCGGGACAGAAGGGCTGCACAGGGGAAAGGCTCGGGACTTTGGGGAACCTCGGGCTGAGCAAATCAAGACATCGGACACCTGGATACGCCTCGTGACGTCGCTGGCGTTAGTTTCTGACACCGCAGTCTTGAAACGATCGCGGCTCTCCATACCGGCCGTCGACAATATCGAGGTCGTTATCGTTTGTCCCCGTTGACCCCCTGCTGCGAGGGTAGATCGACGGTCGTCGACGAAATCGCAAACGACGACGACGACTACAGATCGTTCAATATCGAGCGTCGACGAGGATCGGTGACGACAATGGCGGCGGCGGCGGCGCAGGAGGGATGAGGAGGGGGGAAGAAGAGAACGAGGGCGTGCGTGGGAACGCACACGGAGGTGGAGGATGAAGCACAGGAACATGGAGGGAGGAAGAGGAACCCAACCCCGTCGCCTGCTAGATGACTCCCCAAACTTTGCTTACCCTTAGGAATCTTGCTTGACTTCTAAGGAACTGGGCCTCTCTGCCACGGCGGCTATGTAGTCGCCGTCGCCGCCCAGTCGCCTCCTCGTCGCTGCCCATAGTTTAACGGGCGAAGAACGGTGTAAAATAAGCTTTTGCGCTGTCGGGGGCGCCTGTCCCAGGGCGGCTGGAAAGTTTATACCCTTACGGTGGCACCGTAGGGATATAAACTTTTCAGCCGCCCAGGGGCAGGTGTCTCCGACGGCGGAAAGTTTATTTTACAGCGTTCTTCGCTCGCTGAATAGTCTGCGGCTGTCTGCAAGTCTGGCGGCTATGTCGTCGCCGTCGCCGCCCCGTGGCCGCCTCGTCGCCGCCTGCCGTCTGAGATTGTCGGCCGGTCTGGCGGCTATGTCGTCGCCGTCGCCGCCCCGTCGCCGCCTCGTAGATTGCACAACAGCGACTGAACAACACAGAGTGCACAGCATAGTTTATACCACATAGTGTACCACATATATTGCACTAAATAGAATGCGCACCTTCTCGAGCTCACCACATAGATTCCACAACAAACATTGCACCACATAGATCGCACAACACAGATTGCACAAACGATATTCCACCACATAGCTTGAAACACGTATACTGCACCACACGTGTTGCAATATATATATATATATATGTGCAAATTAATACATTGATCCACGCCGCTTGTACAGCACAGATAGCACTGAGTTGTTAGTACCACCTATTTTGCCCCGCATAGATCGCACAACATTGATTGCACCACATAGAGGTCACATAATGAATTGCTCAACATAGATCGCACAAAAGATGTTGTACCACCTAAACTGCGCCACATAGATCGCACAACATAACTTGAATCACAAACAATACGCCACACATGTTGCCCCGTTCCCGTCCGTCATCGCCCCATGTTCCCCAATCAAATGCCAGTCTGCCGGTCTGGCGGCTCCGTTCCCGTCCGTCGCCGCACCACATTTCTTGCACCACATGTATACACAGACATGCATGCATGCATGCATACAACCATACATATTATATATACACATACATACATACAAACTACTCACGCACATACATACACGCATATATATATATACGTATGTGTGTACAGGCATGCATATACTATATGCACAAGACTGCGATGGCGCTTCGCACCATGCACCTTGGCCCTTCAAGCTTCGCACGGCCGGAATGACAGATGGAGAGCACAGCGAAGGATATATGGAAACATGATAGGTCCTTGTCTCCGTTTTGGAGCCGTCGTTCTCTTTTTATTATCCTGCCTCACTTCCTCTTTCCTTTCTTCTCCATAGTTTTCGCTGTTCTGTGAGAACCATTCCCCGTCCTCATGTTATGCGGGCCCGTCAACACTTTTGTAGGGGGCCCTCCTTCAGGGGGATCTTGGGGGCCCCTCGAAGGCTTCTTGGGGCTTGTTGGGGGCCTCCTGAATGTCTTTTGAAGGTCTCTGTGGGCTTCTTGGGGCCATCCTGCTGCCCTTCGCGGTTTCCCTCAGCGACTGGGTCCCGACTTGGAATGTGTTGGGATGTGTCTTGGGGCTTGGACTCTGTTGGGCCGTCTTGGCGCCTTTTTGACTTGTCCTGCGGCGATCTTGGAGGCCTCTCGGGCGGTCTCAGACGCCCGGAAAACCGAAGAACCGAGCATGTGAACGTTGTACGAACACATGAGGAAAGTGCATTTGTTTGTGTACTTCGAGGGCCCGATGTTCTTTGAACTGTCTTCGGGCGTCTGGTTGGTATGTGCAGATGCTTGGGGCCGTTTGGGAGCCCTCCTGACCGCTTTGGGCTCGCTGGCTAAGCCTGGCAGGGACGTCCAGGAGACCCAGAAGTGACGGGAGGCCCTCTGCAGGGGTCCCCAGAAGGCCCCAGGACCAGGGATCCGAGGGGCTCCCGTTTCTGAGGGGGGGGTCGCAGGATTTCGGACCAACACAGATATATGACAGAACATTTAAGGCATTTACGTCTATATGCACATCTGCACGTACACACAATAACATTCCATGCATACACTGGCATATCATATATTTGTATAGATATGTCTCAGCATATGCATGCATGCATGTATGTACGTATGTTTGTACATGTATGTAGGTGTGGAACTACATGTATACCCTACGAATAACTCACGCATGCGGTATACATCTCCATACACACACAAGTACTACACGCGCGTCACGCGCGCGCGCCCTTCGCGCGCTATCAGGTTAACCTGTGCCCACTACCGAAGGCTTGCAGCATTATGGCGGACGTTAAATGAGCAACACGTGCGTCATGACCAGTGCCATGTCTTCGGGAAGCGATCTGAAGGTGCCGCCCCCTCCGTGTCCCCACGGGCGCCACGCGATTAGCACCCATCGCCCCTATGACAATGCATCCTCCTCTCCGCAGGCCATGCTCTACCTTCTGCTGCTTTTTCTTTGGTTTTACCCCACCCTGTGGATCCTGCTCGCGGCTGTTCTGAAGCCCCGTGGAGCCTCCGCGGGGTCCTCTTTGGACTCTCTTGCAACCTCTCGGACCACCTGGGGCTTCCCTGGGGTCGTCTTGGAGCCTTCAGTCTTAAGGCATCTCGGGGAGCTCTTTGGCCTTGGTGGGCTCATGCAGTGGTCCTCTTCGGTCCTCCTGATTGTCCGGGGCCGTCTTGGGGCTCTCTTGGGCCGTTTCCGAGGGCGCTCTTTGGGCCCGCCAAAATCACAGCCCTCGTAGAGGCAGAAGATGTCAGAAAAAAGCAGGTGCGAACAACTATCGATGAACAGCCCCATGAGTGTGGTTACTGGGCGTCTCCTGGAAGGCTCCTAGGCTTTTGGGGAGAAGGGTGGAGACAGAACGACCAACTCCTGGATGTAGATGTAGCTTTTTCTAATTTGCTGAGCTGGCCGAAGGCGGACGCCACCTACAACTCAGCCTGGCAGCCTTGCACGCCCAGGCGCGATGGGCATACCGATTAACGCGTCGAGTAATAGCCGCTGCTCAGGAACCAACGGCGAGTGCAGGGGACACACGAGGAAGAGGAAGGAGGGAGGCGCGAGGAAGAGGAAGGAGGTTAGATGCTCATTCTGGGGACCTTCCTGGAGCCACTCGCTCCATTCGTGCGTCGAAGCTGCGTCGAACCTGAGTCGAACCTGAGTCGAACATGAGTCGAACCTGAGTCGAATCTGTGTCGAACCTGAGTCGAACCTGAGTCGACCTTGAGTCGAACCTGAGTCGAACAGATCCATTAGGTGGCCCCCAGGAAGGTCCCCAAAACGAGCATCCAAAGGAGGGAGTCCCATGAGCGACAACCTCCTGTATGTTATGCATACGATGCTGGGCTGTCCACTGGCGGGCGTCGCCGGCACATCCTGACACGCCCGTGCGCCTGTGGCATGCCAAGTATCCCACAGAAGGATACTCGCTGCGGAGCAGTTACGGGTGGGCGAGAGGAAGGTACCCCAAATCGTTGTAGGCACCCTCGCCAATCCCATCCGGCCCAACAGCCCGCTCTGGGCCACCGTCACACGCGTCTAAATCATCACCAAAGCGATCGAGCTCCCGTTCGCTCCTGCAGGACAGCCCGTCCACACACAAACACACAAACACACAAACACACACACACACACATACACACATACACACATACACACGCACACGCACACGCACACGCACACGCACACACACTCACACACAAACACACCCACACCCACACCCACACCCACACCCACACGCACACCCACACGCACACGCAGACGCAGACGCAGACGCAACAAGCGCCCGGCGCTGGCGCCGGCGCCGCACGCACGCACGCACGCACGCACGCACGGACGCACGCACGCACACACACACACACACACACACACATACACACACACACACGCACACACACACGCACACACACACACATTCACACCCACACCCACACCCACACCCACACGCACACGCAGACGCAGACGCAGACGCAGACGCAGACGCAGACGCAGACGCAGCCGCAGCCGCAGACGCACGCACGCACGCACACACACGCACCACGCAATCCTCCACGCCTGTCAAAACATACAGACGAGGGAAATGAGGAGAAGGAGCAGGGAGGAGGAAGGAAGGCTGGAGATGGAGTTGGAGTCTCAGGACGAAATCCTACGGACACTTTCCCAAACCTCGTCTGGCCTTGACGTTCAAATGCCTGCTTACTGCGGCCCAGATCCCCGACGCTGAACGTCTGACACACTCCTGGCGGGTCGACGTGGCGCCGCCACTGCGCACACACAAATCCGCGCACACACGCACCAACCCAGACTGCCTCTGAGAACAGCAGACACCGCAAATGGCACAAACCAAACGTTCACATCTTGATGAAACCTCATGCGCTGGGTGTTTGGACGCCCGAAAGGGGCACGGAAACAATGGGCACAATGCCCAACAGCAAATGTTGTCCCGAACCAACAGCGGCCGCTGTTGGGCAGGCGGCCTCCTGTCTCGAATGGGCACACGCCGCGGCGGCGCGGACAGCGAGTCCTGTTCAAAACGAGCAGGAACTGCTGCTGGGCACTGTGCCCCTTCTTTCCGTGCCCCTTTCGGGCGTCCAGAGGGTGGGTGCACAGCCCCCCAATAGGGTGCACCGACCCCCTCGAGCTGGGAAGTGCCCGCAGGGAGCCATCGGGCGCCGCAGGACGCACACGGGGTGCCCTGCGCCGCAGTCCCCTCGACACTCTCTGGGAGTTTCCCCTGGCAAGCCGAATCTACATCTCGTGGAGCAGCACAGGCGTCAGATACTCCAGAGTTCATCTCTGGTTTGGGTTCCCCCGGCATTGCGTGATGCGTCGTTGGGCGTTCCTCGGGAGGGAGACCAAATGAAGATCTATGGGGCGTCTGCGGGCAATCTTGAGCCCGTCTGGGGCCATCTCATGGGGCGGTATTCACTCGCCTTAGAGCCGCTATGGGCAAGACAAATGCTCGGAGGGGAGACGGACTCCATCCTTCAGCGTCCAGCCTGGCCCCCCGTCAGGGCCAAGACTGATCGCGCACAGCAAGAAGCTCCGCTGGTTCAACCACACGCTACTTGTGTGATGCGTTCTGCAAGTGCGTGCAGATACTTCGTGTTGCATGCTGGTGCGAATTGCAGGCTGCTGTTGCTTGCCGCTGTGTGCTTCTGCTTGCTGCCGCTTGTTCCTGTTAAGGTTCTGAGGGCCTCTTCTGCGTTTCTTCCAACAGTATGAGGCCTGCCGAGCGGGCCCATAGCCTTCTGAACCGCTTGGGGATCCTTCAGGGCCCCTTGGTGGACCAGGAAACACACGACACCACCCAACCTACGTACCCACGGGCCGCAGCTTATACCATGACTCCCGGCTCGGGTTTTTGCATGGTATACGCTACGGCCCTCCTCCTCCTCGCTCCTCCTCCTCCTCCCCCTCCTCCTCCTCCTCCTGCTCCTCCTCCTCCCCCTCCTCTTCCTCCTCCTCCTCCTCCTCCTCCTCCTGCTCTTCCTCCTCCTCCTCCTCCTCCTCCTCCTCCTGCTCTTCCTCCTCCTCCTCCTCGATCCTCCTCGATCCTCCTCGATCCTTTTATTTAGAGCCTTCTGGAGCCTTGGTGGGTCGGTTTAGGGCTCCAGTGGGGCCTGTTGGCCATCTGGGGGCTTCACTGGTGCGCCCTTGGATCGGCCAGAGGTCTCGAAGGGACATCCTTTGGGTCCTGACTTGCCTTCTTGGGGGCCTTTTGTGGGCCCCTCGGCGGCGCTCTCTTGGGCTGCATTGGCGCCGTCTTGGGGCCATCTTGGGCCGTCTGGGACTCAATCGAAGCCCCCTTGACCCGTCTTGGCTTTGCCTAAGCTCTATGGGGCAGTCTTGAAACCGTCGGAAGTCCCCCGGACATCATGCAAAGCCAGTGCGGCGAGTACACCAAGAACATGGAGCAACACGTTGGTATTTTACAAAATTGGGTTGATCAGGGTCTCTCTTGGGACGTCGCGGAGTTTCTGCCCATTTCTCCTAAAACCTCATGGAACCCAAAACAACGTTCAGGAACTCATTGGAAATGTTTCATGGGCGGTGATGCGGCCAACCAACCGCTTCCGTGTGGCCCAGGTACCCTCCGAAGCTCCCGGAAAGCTTCCTGAAAGTGTCCGAAAACTCGACCAAACACCCTTGATGGGCCGCTTCTCCACCACCAGTGCCATAATTAGGTAGGAGGGGGATGCTGATAATGATGAGGAGGAGGAGGAGAAGGAAAAGGAGGAGGAGGAGGAAGAGGAGGGGGTGGTGGAGGAGGGGAAGGAGTAGAGGGTTCTGGGCATGGTCATCCGCATAAGGGGGCAAGGGGGCCACCGTCAACACCTACGAGGGGGCTGCGCGTGCAACTCGCAGAATCCCCTGCGATTAGATTCGTGGGGCAGGCAGGGGGCATACTCCTAAGCTCAAGGGGGGCGAGCTCCGAAGTGGCCCCGTAAGAGGTTCGCTGCTTCAGACGAGTCCCCACGGGTCAGTGCGAGGGGGACAGCTGCTGGCCTTTTCGCGTGCCCACGCTAGGGGGCGCGCTGGCGAACAGGGTTCCCAAGTATGGGGGGGTCCCTGAGCCCTTCTTTTAAAATGTGCGCCAGAACTCCTGCATTCCGAGACGCCTCCCCCCCCCCTCCCCCCCTCTTCCACAGAAGCTCCAGCGCTGCGAAATGTCCTCGCTCGTGCTCTTTACCCACTGCGCCGAGACAGATGCTTCCCGCGCCGAACGCGCGCAGATCCCGCTTCCCGCGCCAAGCGCGCTCAGGAATGCTCGGCTTCAGCTCTTTCCGCCCTCTGCAAGGTCACAATTATCCCAGCAAATATGAAGATACATACGGCACGCGCAGAGGATTGGCATCCTCTGCGCTTTCCCATTCTGAAAGAGCGTAATCTTCACAGGGTAGCAGTTGTGTATGTGTGTCCCAGTCTAGCAGTCACCCCAATGCTCTCCCATCCCGAAAGGGCTAATCCCAACAGCCCTGTGGGCTTAGGTGGTATAGCGCGTTTTTTCCCATCTCTCTACCCCTCCCCCTGCCCCCCTCCCCTGGGCCTGGGAAGGGGGGGGGACGGAGGCACCGCAGCGTCCAACATGGCTTAAGAAGGCTCCAGCAGGGCTTCCAAGTCGCAAGATGGCCTCCAAGATGGCCCATGCTACTTCAAGATGGGTCAATATAGCCTCCGACAGACCCCCAAGGCGGATCCAAGTGCCCTCCGAACCCTCCACGGCGCCCTCCAAGATGCCCAATCCTTCAAAAGCCAAGGGAAAATCCATGTGTTTGGCAGTATCGCCTTTTCGCTTCCGATGGGCTTTGGAAGCCTCAAGATGGCCCCAAGATGGCCCAACAGAGGCCCGAGAGGGGCCCAAGAAGGCCGAAGACGGCCCCAAGATCTCCCAAAAGGCGCCCAAGAGCGCTCCAAGAGGGCCCCGAGATGTCGTTTGAGAGCCTCCGAGGGGGCGATGCTAATTGAGAGACCTCCTCTTTTTGAGCCATGGGGCTCAATATGACCACAAGAGGCCTCCCAGCCTCTCCCCAAAGACCCTCCACCCCGCCCTGTCTGGCCCAATATAGCTCCGAGAGAGCCCTGATCGGCAAATGTGGTTTTCGAAATGGCCCAAAATAGCCAAGCATCGCTCAAGATAGCCTCCGGCAGACCCCCAAGAGAAACCCCAAGACAGCCTCAAGATGGCCCAAGATAGCCGAGACTGGCTCAAGATAGCCTCCGACAGCCAATTGCCGAGCATGGCTCAAGCTAGCCTCCAAAGAGGCCCCGAGAATTCTGGCAATGAATTCTGGTTGGGCTGGTGGGGATATGCGAAGCGTCAAGAAGACCACTTCTGGCAAAGTGCGAACTGCGCCGTTGGAAGCCCCTTGGCGCCGCCATTCATCCGCAAGAAAAAACAATGGCTAATCTTGTCCCAGATGGTGTCCAAACTGCCGTCCACATTTCGTCCGCTGCGCTTCCGTGTCCTCTTTTCTGTGACAAACCCTTCAACAATTGCGTCTTCCACCACTAATAAATTGTCGGTCCCTTTGCCTCAGTCTCCTAATCCTTTTCCGCTTCCTCCGAACCTGCACAATCCCTCTGCGAAGCAAGAAATCCAATCCTTCGACAAATTCTCCAGTGGACACCCCCCCTTCCGCGCACAGTGTTTGCACAGCGCTCTTCGTGATTCCTTCGTTGGTCGCTGTGCGGCTGAAGAACCCCAGAAGCGTTGCGATCTCAGGGTCGCCGTTGGGGAGCATGGGTTTTCGATGTTCTTCATCGGCAGTCGGTGGCCTCTGAACCTCGGGGCCTCCGCCTTCCCGGGCCTTCGCTCCCCGGCGGCGAACGCACGAGTCGATCTCCTGGGGGTAACCTTTCCAGACCTTCGGGTGGGCCTCCATGTTTCAAGACCTCTGTCTCGTCTGTCTCCCCGCGGGAGTCCATGGGTCTTCGAGGTCCACCTTCGGCAGAAGTCAATGGCTGCCGAACCTCGGATCCTCCATCTTTCCTCTTTGTCGCCTGCTTCCGTCTGCCCTGCGGCAGCCTATGACTGTTGTCCTCCAACAAAGCGGTCATGGGTTTTCGAGGTTCATCCCTGGCGAAAATCCACGGCCTCCGCACCTCGGGGGCTCCATCTTCCCTCTGGCCTTCGTCGTTCAACTTATCTCGTCGTTCAGAGCTGAGCCCATGGGGTTCCATTGGCGCAATTGACCTTCTATCTCCAGTGCCATATTTTCCAACAAGTCGTTTTCTGTTGTGTTTGACTCCTCATTTGCTTCAAGGCCAGGCTCCTGGTGCAACTGTTCCACAAGATCTGCGTCGTTTATGGTGTTTCGAAGTTCTTCATTGGCACCCTCCGGTTGCCTCCAAGCCCGGGGCCTCCACCAGTCCTCTGGTACCTGCTGTCCTGCGACGGTTGTTCGCAAATGGCAATCCTGGCAATGTGGCCTTTCCACACATGGGTACAGCGGATCCATGTTCTGCGTCTTTGGCTTGTCGGTTTTACCCCCTAAGGTCACACTCCAATCCTCCATAGACATTTGGGGAGTTGCGGCACAAGCGAACTCCGTCACCAGCTTACGACCCTGTTACGCGAGAAGGTGTCTCAAAAAGTACGGTATCGGAGTGGCTGCAGAGATTGTTTCTTCTCTCCCTTCCTCCTCCCCCCATACTCCCTCTCGCCCGCCCGATCGAGATTGGAGAATGTATGGGGTAGAAGTCGTGTGAATGAGTTTTACTGAAAGTCCTCACTCCGTCAGAACTCAAAGTGCCTGGGCCTCCAACGCCGACTAGGAGGAGGGGGGGGGAGGAGGAGGAGGAGGAGGAGGAGGAGGAGGAGGAGGAGGAGGAGGAGGAGGAGGAGGAGGAGGAGGAGGAGGAGGAGGAGGAGGAGGAGAGGAGGAGGTGGAGGAGGAGGACCTCCCCTCCTCCCCCTCCTCCCCTCTCCCCCGTCCTACCTGTGGTGAGCTTTGTGAGCTTGGTAGGCCAACAAACGCCGTTACGACATAATTGTGTTGCGACATGTTCTGGAATCAAGTCGGCCACAGAGCCGTAACGACAGAGCGTCCGTAGTCATGTGGGCTCAGAAAGCTCAGGCACCAAGTCTGCAGCCCAGCTTCACCAAAGCGCTGGGCGAGCCCGATTCAATAGTCACGAATCACGAGTGAAGAGTGCGCTCAGCATTCAACAAGCATCGTCATCGTTACAGTCGAGGCGCTGACCCAAGGAACCCTAAATAAGGAGCGAGGCCCCTTTTCTCCAGAAGTTGAACTTCGGTTTCCCTTCGAAAACCTAAGGACAACGTGGGGTAAGCTGTGAAACAAGTAAGGAACACGGAGCCCGTACCCAACGAAAAGTGTTCCTTCTTCAGCGCCCCGACTGTACGATTTCTCATCTTACCCTTGCTGCGTGACGGCTTGGCAGAGGAAGGGGCAGACAGGCAACCCCGACGTGGGCAGCGAGAACTACACCCAGGTGCACGCCATCGTGAACAACCTGCAACTCGACCTGCAACTCTGCCGAAACGTTCCCACATGCTCGACCAAACACCCTTGATGGGCCGATTTCCCACCACCACTACCATATGTAGGAGTGTGAGGAGGAGAAGAAGGAGGACCTCCCCTCCTCCCCCTCCTCCCTTCCTTGCCATCGCTCGCACGTCCATTCCCCGTGCACCTTTCGATGTCGTGCGTGTATTTTTCGCGAGGTGATCCAAGGCGCTTCTCGGTGGTCCTCGACGAGAAAGTACGCCAACGTCCGAGCGATGCCAAGCTTCTCCCCCGTCCTACCTGTGGCAATGGTGGTGGAAAATCGGACCATCAACCCTGGTCCCCTGGTCGTCTGTCGGGGCGCCCGCCAATGGGGCCCCTGGCCCCAGTCCCCCGGCAAATGTGCGCGCGTGTACACTACACATGCCAGTTTTGGCTGCTGACTGGCGCGTGGGATCTGGACAGAGCCGGGCCGAAAACGCCCACCCTCACGGCACTACTCGCAGACATCTTTCATCATGCCGCTCGCCTTCTCCAGCTCGTCGCGGCTTCCGTGCACAACGTCGTGCATGTGCTGCAAGGGCTGAAGGCACTGATCCCAATCGAGCGTGTTGCCACCGAGCCCACTGTGCCCGCGCTGAGGGCCCTTGCCGTGGCCATATGTATGCACATATGCGCTCCCAACAATTTTGAGCGATGGTGCTATCTGCTCATTGTGTGTAAAGAATGTGTTGAAGCACACCTTCGGAAGCATCAGCGTGACCTCCTCACCGTGTCCGCAGAGAAGAAACTGATCTCCATCCTTCACCGAACAACTGCCCACGTCTGGATTGTGGTTGCCAACGCCGCCTGCGCGGGAGCTTTCGGACATATAGGGGTCAGCGGGCACCAGGCAATGCTTTGCGTTATGGCAGATCCAAGCGCTCCCCTGAGACATCTTCAGCGAAGGCTGCGTGGTATCCAGTGGCCAACCGCGGTCTGGCAACATCGTTAGAGTGCCAAGGCTTGCCGGAGGCTGCAGCCTGGAAGGCGAATAGTACTGGTCGAAGACGGTAGAGAGTGTTACGGTGTGCGCCATAATCATTTGTACCCAGAACTTCGAAAAACTCTTGCACATTAGAGCCTGGACAGCAAGAGCATGCTTCTCTGTGAAATCAAATGTCGCGACGAACCCCCTGTTGGTATTCACCACGGTGTCGACCAGGTCGAGCGCAAAATCGCCCGTTCCAAGTATCGAGTACAACAGGCTGATCGTGTCAACGATGGCGCCTGCCCCACTGCGAGCCACAGCCTGCTCTTCCAACAAACCCGTAGACGTACCTGCCAACAACCCATCCCTCGCCGCTTCTCCGTACTCTGGGCAAGCAAGACCCGCTTTGAGGCCGTCGAGGCGGGCGCGGTCGAGGTCGAGGCGGCGAGACAAGGCGTCGCGCTGCTCGCGGTCGACCAGCGCGCAGGCCCTGCCGAGGCCACCGCTGTGGAGATCCGCCGACAGGTTGCGACAAGGCTGTGCAGCAGCTGAGGCCCTAGGCGCAAGCTCCTCACACACCTTCGGGGAGACGTAAGACCCGGGTACGGGGGACTCGGAAATCCCCGACGAGGTCGTCAAAAAAATGACGAGGCCGAGCCTGCATTTTGACGAGGCCTCCCGCTGCAGACATCCCGCGAAACTCCTCCTCGTCAAAATCCGAGGCGCGGTCGTCAAAAAACGATGGCGAACCCGAGTCCGGCAAACCCGGGTCTTACGCTCCCCCGACACCTGCAAGATCTCTCCGGCCAGGTAGTCGGCCGATCGCTTGATCTTGTCGTGGTCGTTGCAGGCAACAACCAGCTCCTCGTGCTGAGCCTGGGAGACGCTCTCAAGAGACTGGCGCTGCGCAGCCAGCATACGGTCGACCTGGTCGATGAGCGCGCAGCCCTTCGACAGCCTGGCAGCATGCTCTGCGATCAGCTGCTTCGCGGCCTCCATCTCGTGACGCTCCTGGCGGATCAGCTTTCTCGTCTTGTACACGGAATACAGCGAGCCCATGGCTGCAACAGTGCTTATCGTGAAACTGACGGGCTCGCCCGCCTGGCCCTCATTGGCGTGGTGGGCTACGACGTCCACGCGCCCGCAGGACCCGGGCTGGACGAGAGCAAGAGAGAGGAGCAAGACAAGAGGCCAAGACGCGCGGACCCGCATGTCAGTTGATGGCCTCGGCCTGTTCACAGACAACGCAATGACTTGATTCGGCCTGTGGCCCAAACCGCTACTTGAGCCAAATGGCTGCGGAGTCGTGGAGAAGTGTATCCGAAGACACTCGAAAATCTTCGAAAACCGACTACGTCGACGATTGGCGACGGCGGCGATCG